AAAACAAAAGTCCATCCAGTTCAACCATTAAAAAAAAAGTTATAATCCTACACCCACAGTTGATCCAGAGGAAGGCAAAAAAAAACCCCCCAGCAAAGCATGATCCAATTTGCTCCTGCAGGGAAAAAAATTCCTTCCTGATCGCCCGAGAGGCAATCGGATATTCCTTGGATCAACTTTACCTATAAATGTTAGTATCCAGTTATATTCTGTGTATCTAGGAAAGAATCCAGGACTTTTTTAAAGCAATCCACTGAACTGGCCAGAACCAACTCTTGGGGGAGTCTATTCCACATTTTCACAGCTCTCACTGTGAAGAAACCTTTCTGTGTTTGGAGATTACATTTCTTTTCCTCCAGACGTAAAGAGCGCCCCCTTGTCCTCTGTGATGACAAGCAAAGTGGAAGTTGCATGACTTTCAAGTCGCAGCTGTATGAACCGAGCTTGAATGTTCAGTTGGTCTTTAAACTATCAGTCCTCATGCACATTTGACATTTTTACAGCGGCTGTTTTTGGCTTTTGTTGTTTTTTCCTACAGCCAGTAAACCCCCCAGCATGTTATCCTATGTGTCCATGCACAAACAGACTGTAATCAACGTTTTTTGGCCGGGACACTTTTTGGGTGGAAAAAAACCCCAGGACTAGTGGGTTTCTAGAGGAGTTTTTTTTTAGCTGTAAAAACTCTCTAATGCTGAAAAACATGGCAAAATGCAGTGAAATGCATTTTTGGATTTTTTTTGACCAAAAAAAATTTGTGGGGAAAAAAAAGCTAAAAATCTCTAATGTGGAAAAACGCAGGAAAACGCTGCTAATCGTGGCAAAATGCTAATACAAAAATGCTAAAAAAAAGTGACTTTACACAGCTAACATTACCAGCGTTATCAACGCGCCCCGTGTGCATGAGGGGTCAGCAGTTGACTTGAAGGGGAAGGAAGACAAGTATACAGTGGGGCAAAAAAGTATTTAGTCAGCCACCAATTGTGCAAGTTCTCCCACTTACAAAGATGAGAGAGGCCTGTAATTGGCACCATAGGTAGACCTCAACTATGAGAGACAAAATGAGAAAAAAAATCCAGACAATCACATTGGCTGATTTGGAAAGAATTTATTTGCAAATTATTGTGGAAAATAAGTATTTGGTCAATATCAAACATTCATCTCAATACTTTGTTATATATCCTTTGTTGGCAATGACAGAGGTCAGACGTTTCCTGTAAGTCTTCACAAGGTTGGCACACACTGTTGCTGGTATGTTGGCCCATCCTCCATGCAGATCTCCTCTAGAGCAGTGATGTTTTGGGGCTGTCGCTGGGCAACACGGACTTTCAACTCCCTCCAAAGGTTTTCTATGGGGTTTAGATCTGGAGACTGGCTAGGCCACTCCAGGACCTTGAAATGCTTCTTACGAAGCCACTCCTTCGTTGCCCGGGTGGTATGTTTGGGATCATTGTCATGTTGGAAGACCCAGCCATGTTTCATCTTCAATGCCCTTGCTGATGGAAGGAGGTTTGCACTCAAAATCTCATGATACATGGCCCCATTCATTCTGTCCTGTACATGGATCAGTCGTCCTGGTTCCTTTGCGGAGATACAACCCCAAAGCATGATGTTGTCACCCCCATGCTTCACAGTAGGTATGGTGTTCTTTGGATGCAACTCAGCATTCTCTCTCCTCCAAACATGACGAGTTGTGTTTCTACCAAACAGTTCTATTTTGGTTTCATCTGGCCATATGACATTCTCCCAATCCTCTTCTGGATCATCCTAATGCTCTCTAGCAAACTGCAGACGGGCCCGGACATGTACTGGCTTAAGCAGGGGACATGTCTGGCACTGCAGGGTCTGAGTCCCTGGCGGCGTAGTGTGTTACTGATGGTAGCCTTTGTTACATTGGTCCCAGCTCTCTGCAGGTCATTCACTAGGTCCCCCCGTATGGTCCTGGGATTTTTGCTCATTGTTCTTGTGATCATTTTGACCCCACGGGGTGAGATCTTGCGTGGAGCCCCAGATGGAGGGAGATTATCAGTGGTCTTGTATGTCTTCCATTTTCTAATTATTGCTCCCACAGTTTATTTGTTCACACCAAGCTGCTTGCCTATTGCAGATTCAGTCTTCCCAGCCTGGTGCAGGTCTACAATTTTGTTTCTGGTGTCCTTTGACAGCTCTTTGGTCTTCACCATAGTGGACTTTGGAGTGTGACTGAGGTTGTGGACAGGTGTCTTTTATATTGCTAACAAGTTCAAACAGGTGCCATTGATACAGGTAATGAGTGCAGGACAGAGGAGCCTCTTAAAGAAGAAGGTACAGGTCTGTGAGAGCCAGAAATCTTGCTTGTTTGTATGTGACCAAATACTTATTTTCCACCATAATTTGCAAATAAATTCTTTCCAAATCAGCCAATGTGATTGTCTGGATTTTTTTTTTCTCATTTTGTCTCTCATAGTTGAGGTCTACCTATGATGCCAATTACAGGCCTCTCTCATCTTTTTAAGTGGGAGAACTTGCACAATTGGTGGGGACTAAATACTTTTTTTGCCCCACTGTATATGCCTAGACATGGGCTAAAACACCCAGAAACTTCTCCACCTTGCCCAAGACATGAATCCATTGATTAAGTTTTGTTTTCCTAATTTCCCATTTTAGATCTGAAATGACATCAATCCGACTGAAAAACACAATTGATGAAATATGCAAAATACTCTGATTTAATAAGCTTAATATTTGAATCGACATGAGGCAATTTCAAACATAATTAAATTAAAGGCTTCGCCATCACAGTTCCAGATCTCAGGGGCTCTCGTGTTGGCAAAGAATATTAAGGTTGTTGTTTAACGATAACAGATTTTAAATACAATTAATGAACAATACCAGACAGATACAATGTAGCATATTTGTATTTATTAATAAATTCATTTTCTCTAGAGGGGTGGATGAAGGAATGAAGTGCAATGAATGTATACTGTTGATTCATTTAGGGCTCATGTACACTGCAGCTGATCAACTGACGTTTAGGAGCATTTCTGCGTTTTTTTCAGCAGCCTCTGAACTCTCCCGAATGTTTTCCTCAGTGTCCATGTACACATCGTCTTTTACAGGCAGTTGAGTTTACAGTCGGTTTTTTTTTTATGCACCAAACTTGCATTCAGGAGTAAATTTTATCATTGTTTCAAACGCTTGTAAATGCGACTAACCGCGTTTATAAGCGTTTGCGTTTAGAAGCGTTTTTTTTTTTTTTAACTCTTTCATATCCAGATGCTGTCCAGAGCCTTGTTTCATCATCAGAAATGCATGCACAGCATTTTTCATGTATTCAAATGGACCCGGTACACCAGCGCAGTCAGTTCCAGGTTTTACGTGAAGAAAAAAATGGTAGAACGTGCCGCATTATGCTCATGATGGGATCCATAGTGAATACAATAAGATAGGTTATCTCAACACATACTGCTCTCTCTGCTTCTGCTCTCTCTATTTCTCTCAAAATGTCAGAAATAGTAAATTTATTACTGTTTTCAGTGCATTCTGGGCATTTTGGAAGGTTTCCCGAGGTTATCTTTAAGAAAACGCTTCTAAACGCAATTGCGCATAAACGTGGTATGCAAACGCGGCTAAACTGACTTTTTTTGACCTACGTTTTCCAGCAGTCAGGTTCCATTGTTCAGAAGTGTTTTCCAAACGTCCCGTGTACATGGAGCCCTAAAAGGGAATTGGGAATAAGAATAAAGGGTTGGATCTGTACAAATGAGATCGGGTCACATTGTTGCTGATTCCGTCCTGGATCAGGTTGGTACAATGTATATCAGCATTTCCTCTGTTCTCTGAGCATGGGCGGACTGACAACTCATGGGGCCCCCAGGCAATAGGGGATCATGGGGCCCCTGTGTCCTTGCCCAAACTCAAAAAAGCCTATGAAAAAGGTACCAGGGGCATCTCATGGGGCCCCCTACTGACCCCGAGCCCTCGTGCAGTGCCCGAGTTTCCAAATGGTCAGTCCGCCCCTGACTCCTCATGCACACGGGACGTTTTTACAGCGGCTGTTTTTGGCTTTTCACATTTTTTTTTCTACAGTCAGTAAACCCCCCAGCATGTTATCCTATGTGTCCATCCCCAGCATGTTATCCTATGTGTCCATCCCCGGCATGTTATCCTATGTGTCCATCCCCGGCGTGTTATCCTATGTGTCCATCCCCGGCGTGTTATCCTATGTGTCCATCCCCGGCATGTTATCCTGTGTGTCCATCCCCGGCGTGTTATCCTATGTGTCCATCCCCGGCATGTTATCCTGTGTGTCCATCCCCGGCGTGTTATCCTATGTGTCCATCCCCGGCATGTTATCCTGTGTGTCCATCCCCGGCGTGTTATCCTATGTGTCCATCCTGGCATGTTATCCTGTGTGTCCATCCCCGGCATGTTATCCTATGTGTCCATCCCCGGCGTGTTATCCTATGTGTCCATCCCCAGCATGTTATCCTATGTGTCCATCCCCGGCATGTTATCCTATGTGTCCATTCCCGGCGTGTTATCCTATGTGTCCATCCCCGGCATGTTATCCTGTGTGTCCATCCCCGGCGTGTTATCCTGTGTGTCCATCCCCGGCATGTTATCCTATGTGTCCATCCCCGGCATGTTATCCTGTGTGTCCATCCCCGGCATGTTATCCTACGTGTCCATCCCCGGCGTGTTATCCTGTGTGTCCATCCCCGGCGTGTTATCCTACGTGTCCATCCCCAGCATGTTATCCTGTGTGTCCATCCCCGGCGTGTTATCCTATGTGTCCATCCCCGGCATGTTATCCCGTGTGTCCATCCCCGGCATGTTATCCTGTGTGTCCATCCCCAGCATGTTATCCTATGTGTCCATCCCCGGCATGTTATCCTGTGTGTCCATCCCCGGCATGTTATCTCGTGTGTCCATCCCTGGCATGTTATCCTATGTGTCCATCCCCGGCATGTTATCCCGTGTGTCCATCCCCGGCATGTTATCCTGTGTGTCCATCCCCAGCATGTTATCCTATGTGTCCATCCCCGGCATGTTATTCTATGTGTCCATCCCCGGCATGTTATCCTATGTGTCCATCCCCGGCATGTTATCCTATGTGTCCATCCCCGGCATGTTATCCTATGTGTCCATCCCCGGCATGTTATCCTATGTGTCCATCCCCGGCATGTTATCCTGTGTGTCCATCCCCAGCATGTTATCCTATGTGTCCATCCCCGGCATGTTATCCTATGTGTCCATCCCCGGCATGTTATCCTATGTGTCCATCCCCGGCATGTTATCCTGTGTGTCCATTCCCAGCATGTTATCCTATGTGTCCATCCCCGGCATGTTATCCTATGTGTCCATCCCCGGCATGTTCTCCTATGTGTCCATCCCCAGCATGTTATCCTATGTGTCCATCCCCGGCATGTTATCCTATGTGTCCATGCACACATAGGCTTTAATCAGCGTTTTTTGGCTGGAGCATTTTCTGGCTGGAAAAGAAAGAAAAAAAAAATAGTGGGATTCTAGAGGAGTTTCTTACCTGTAAACATGCTCTAACGCTACGAAAGCTGAAAAACGCCAATAAAACCTGAAAAACGTTAAAAAATGTGGCTATCTGGCGTTTATGAATGTTTTTGAGCCTGAAGATGTTGTGAGAGCATAACTGCTAAAGAACGCAAAAAACTTAAAAAACGCTGAAAAAAGCTAATGTAAAAAAAGCTAAAAAACTCCCATTTTTCTTGCAGCATTCTACAGATAACTATACTGGTGTTTTTCTAACGTCCAGTGTGCATGAGGCCTGAATCTGAATAATCATCTGTAGTATACGTAGAAGCAGGGATTTTTTTTAGCGGGAAAGCAGGGGAACGCAGTTCCAGCCAGGGGCGGACTGACCATTTGGAAACTCAGGCACTGCCCGAGGACACGGGGTCAGTAGGGGGCCCCATGAGATGCCCCTGGTACCTTTTTCATAGGCTTTTTTGAGTTTGGGCAAGGACACAGGGGCCCCATGATCCCCTATTGCCCGGGGGCCCCATGACTTGTCGGTCCACCCCTGGTTCCAGCACTCCCAGCACTGAATGGGGTGCTGGAGGGTCTATTGTTGCTGGTGGGGCATCTGTTTTTGCTAGAGCACAGGTGTCATACACAAGGCCCGAGGGCCAGATCCGGCCCTCCTGGCCATTTCATGTGGCCCTCAGACCTCTCCTGAACAGAAGAGAGGACAACATATCTCTTCCACCAGATCCTGTCCTTCTCCATGCAGCTACAGAAAGGCTAATTTCTGCAACCCCCGACCCTTGGTCTCAACAATTTGCAGCAGAGAGCAGGACAGAACTCCTCCTACAGATCCTGCACGTTTCTGTGCAGCTGCAGCACCCCCTTGTCCCCACCTCCCCTGCAGACTTCAGCAGCTAACTCCAGCCCTCCTTTGGTCCTCCTCCAGAGCCTGCACTTTTTGCTGCCCACCTCCAGCTTCTTCCTGGCAGCAGCACAAGGTAAGGGGTAAGGGGGGTGTGCTGTGATGTACGGGAGGGTGGGGTGCTCTGGACATCTAGTCTTACAGATACAAGTGGTCCTTTCAGGACAACCATAATGCTGATGCAGCCCGCCATGAAATTGAGTTTGACAGCACTGTGCTAGAGGGATCTTATGTTGCTAGGGACGCAATAGTTGCTGGGAGGGATCTACTGTTCAGGAAGCAGCCTATTTTAGCTCACTGCTGGAGGATCTATTGATGCTGGCTGTTGGGAGATCTACTATATTGTCACATAGGGGCTCTAGTGTTGTGGGGGGGTATTTTTTTGGGGGGAGAGCAATTGCTGCTGGGGGGGATCTAATGTTGATGGGTGGAATTTATTGTTGTCAGATAGGATCTGTTGTTGCTGGGAGGTTTATTGTTGCTAGTGGAATCTATTGTTGCTGGAGGAGGCTGTTTTTGCTGGGGTGATCTATTGTTGCTGGGGGATCTGTTGTTGCTGGGGGGTTTATTGTTGCTAGTGGAACCTATTGTTGCTCTAGGGGGGTGGTTCTTGTTAGGTTGATCTATTGTTGCTGGGGGATCTGTTGTTGCTGGGGTAGTCTATTGTTGCTGGGGGATCTGTTGTTGCTGGGGGGGGGGGGGTGTTGCTAGTGGAATCTATTGTTGCTAGAGGAGGCTGTTGTTGCTGGGGTGATCTATTGTTGCTGGGGGATCTGTTGTTGCTGGGGGGTTTATTGTTGCTAGTGGAACCTTTTGTTGCTCTAGGGGGGTGGTTCTTGTTAGGTTGATCTATTGTTGCTGGGGGATCTGTTGTTGCTGGGGTAGTCTATTGTTGCTGGGGGCATCTGTTGTTGCTGGGGGTTTTTGTTGCTAGTGGAATCTATTGTTGCTGAAGGAGGCTGTTGTTGCTGGGGTGATCTATTGTTGCTGGGGGATCTGTTGTTGCTGGGGGGTTTATTGTTGCTAGTGGAATCTATTGTTGCTCTAGGGGGCGGTTGTTGTTAGGTTGATCTGTTGTTGCTAGGGTAGTCTATTGTTGCTGGGGGATCTGTTCTTGCTGGGGGGTTTATTGTTGCTAGTGGAATCTATTGTTGCTGGAGGAGGCTGTTGTTGCTGGGGTGATCTATTGTTGCTGGGGGCTCTGTTGTTGCTGGGGGGTTTATTGTTGCCAGTGGAATCTATTGTTGCCGGAGGGGGCGGTTGTTGTTAGGTTGATCTGTTGTTGCTGGGGGATCTGTTGATGCTGGAGTAGTCTATTGTTACTGGGGGATCTGTTGTTGCTGGGGGGTTTTTGTTGCTAGTGGAATCTATTGTTGCTGGAGGAGGCTGTTGTTGCTGGGGTGATCTATTGTTGCTGGGGGCTCTGTTGTTGCTGGGGGGTTTATTGTTGCTAGTGGAATCTATTGTTGCCGGAGGGGGGCGGTTGTTGTTAGGTTGATCTGTTGTTGCTAGGGTAGTCTATTGTTGCTGGGGGATCTGTTCTTGCTGGGGGGTTTATTGTTGCTAGTGGAATCTATTGTTGCTGGAGGAGGCTGTTGTTGCTGGGGTGATCTATTGTTGCTGGGGGCTCTGTTGTTGCTGGGGGGTTTATTGTTGCTAGTGGAATCTATTGTTGCCGGAGGGGGCGGTTGTTGTTAGGTTGATCTGTTGTTGCTGGGGGATCTGTTGTTGCTGGAGTAGTCTATTGTTACTGGGGGATCTGTTGTTGCTGGGGGGTTTATTGTTGCTAGTGGAATCTATTGTGGCTGGAGGAGGCTGTTGTTGCTGGGGGCTCTATTGTTGCTGGCGGGTTTATTGTTGGAATCGTGGAATCTATTGTTGCTCTAGGGGGGCGGTTGTTGTTAGGTTGATCTATTGTTGCTGGGGGATCTATTGTTGCTGGGGTAGTCTATTGTTACTGGGGGGGGGTCTATTATTGTTGGCTGAAAGGATCTTGCTTGAAGGTGGATAGGGGATGGAGACAAGGGGATACTCGTAAGGGGGGAGTACCTGCACATATTCTCTGAGAAACAAATCCTTGTGTAGAAGTGTCGCATTTACTAAATGTGTTAAAAATACGTCCTGAATAATGAACAAGTGGGTGACTGCACACTGCTGTTGCTAAGATCCATACGTTTATTGAAAAAAGCAGAAACATCCAAGCAGCATGACATACTACAAGAGCAAACGCCAACGTGTTCTTAAGCACTTGACCTTCGGAAGGTTTTATCCCTTTCATGACTGGGGTATTTTTTGCTATTCAGCACTGCGTTACTTTTTCTGGCAATTGCTCGGTCATGCAGCACTGTACCCAAATGAAATTTAGATCATTTTTTTCACACAAATAGAGCTTTCTTTTGGTGGTGTTTGATCACCACTGGGTTTTTATATTTTTTATTATTAAAACGAAAAAAGACCGATTATTTTGAAAAAAAAATATTTTCTACTTTCTGTTATAAAACATATCCAATAAAATCAATTTTTTTTCATACATTTAGGCCAAAATGTATTCTGCTACATGTCTTCGGTAAAATAAAATCCTAACAATGCCGGTGATCATCGATTTATAGTGAGACTGTGATAGTGTGGTGGGCAATCTCGGGCTAACTGACGCTGACTGGGAGGGACACTAACTGACACTTATGTCGCTAGTGACACTAATACAGTGATCAGTGCTAATGCTGTACATTGTACTAATGACACCGACTGAGTGACAGGGTGATTAAGAGGGCAATCAAGTGGTTAAATGTGTGCCTAACAAGTGTAATGTGTGCTGCTGTTACTAACAGATCTGGCTGCTTTTTCTCCCTGAACTCAGGGAGAAGAAACAGCCAGATAGTGGATTGTAAACACAGGACTCTGTTCTGTGATTGGCAACAGCCGATCAGCTGGTATACAGCCAAAATCATTGGCTAACCTGCACAGATCAGCAGGAGTGCGCAAGCACGCCCAAGACCCATAAAATTACTGTGCGTGGTTGGCAAGAGGTAAATCACAATGATTAAACACGTGCTGGTATGAAACGCGTCAACACTTGCTCTCCCTGTGTGTTGTACTATTTGGACTTTTTAAATTTTTTTCAAACTGATCACTACTTGTTGTTTTTTTTTTAACTTATCAATATTATCAACAACACTATGTGGTCATCCACCTGTTAGTTGTTCATGTTTTGTGGTACAAGTGGGACCACAGCTGTGTTTTGGGGTTAGAGAGCAGTGGACCGACCTGGAGCGGTGTGGCGCATTTTAGAAACGCTTGTCGCAATTGTGGTGTCATTCATTGTTAAGCAGATGCGTGTTTTGCAACGTGCAAAAATGTGCAAAATGCGCGGTCAAAAATAACACAAAACTGAATGTGGCAGAAAGCTTCATAAGCTACTTTGCAACGTTTGTCATGCATAGGGCAGCCCATTTAAATGAATGGGCTGCTTTATGGGTGTTGTGTGAAAAAACACACAGAACCCCCCCCCCCCCAAGAAAATGCTATCTGAGTGTGGCATAGGGCCACTTGCACACCAGGCCATCGAACTGCAGTGTGTCCCTCCTGGTGCTTTAGTGTCCCCGGGAGGGATAGGTGCAGTGTCCTGCTCTTGTTGGCAGCCTGGCAAAGTCTATGGCAGGCACTGGCTGGACGAGGCTGAATACTGTACAGAGTAGAACCAGCATTTAGGACCCTGTCTGTTCACAGATGAGGTTCCAGATCACAGAAGACCTGAATAGACAGAGCCCGAAACACCGGAACCACATGGCATTACATTTAGCCCCACCCAGCCTGCATCTGGCATAGTAAAAGATTTATGGAGGCTGGAAGACGTGGTGGCAAAGCAGGATAAGTTGGGGGAGAGGTGGAAGAGGGGAAGGGATATTGGGAAAGGTATTGATATTGACATTATTGACGCTGACATTATTGATATT